CCCCCCCCCCTTCCTTATCACTGTACTTATCGATATTTCAGTTAGTGCTTTGAATTAGAGAAGTTTTCTTTTTTTTTTGTTTTATATCGTATTTCTCTTTTTTCTTTGCATTGGGACTATTCACGAATACCTGTGTTTACGTGCGCTATGTATAATATAAAAATAATGTCTATAAATTGTATGTATGCATATGCCTAATACGTCTAATATAATATGACCGCTTGATCTTCAGGCGACGAGCACGAGGATTGTCGGTGGTATATGGTGGTTCTTCACTCTTATCATCATATCCTCTTATACCGCAAATCTGGCGGCATTTCTTACGGTCGAGAGAATGATAACGCCAATTGAGAACGCTGCGGATTTGGCCGAGCAGACGGAGATCTCATATGGGACACTGGAGGGAGGCAGCACCATGACGTTTTTTAGGGTGAGCGAGAGGGCTAATACGTTACTCGATAAGCGTTCCTTTGGAGTACGTCATTTCTTGCGAAATTGAGTAAAACTTAAAGAAAAGGGGAAAAAAGCGTAATCCGAGATTCGTGGGGGAAAAAAAAGAGCACAAGTAAGAAAAGGATGGTGCTCGCGGAAAAAAAAAAGAAGAGAGAGAAACGGCAGAAAGAGTTGAGTAAAACGGCGAGGCATTCCCTGGAGTACTGTAAGAATTTGAGGGAAAAAAGAGAAATTCGAAAATTGATGCGATCCCAGAGAAATTGTTTTCCATTTCAAAGAAAGTCACTTCTCGTATATTCGACTTTTTCTTGGAACGAATGAAAGGGCCAGGAGAAAGATTTTGAAAAAGATACCAGCGCCAATTCACACGGCGTAGAGATTGCCGTGGACCGCGAAAGGGTTGAGAGGAGAATTATGCAAGGAAGAAGAAAAGATAAGAAGCTAGTAGAAAAAAACATTATAGTCAGACAGTCAAGTCGCAGACACCTGGGCATCCGTTCGCTATGTACGTATATATAGTGAAGTTGAAGTCGAAGTTGAGGGTGGGTTCCAGGCAACACCCCTCCCGGCCTGGCTGGCGAGTAGTCGGCATCATCCCCCTAAAGAGGATGAAACAGACTGGCGCGATAGGGGCGGGAGGGGGGCGGGAGGGGGTTTCTGAAGTCGCGAGGCGGATCACACGCATTACCGTCTAATTACTGGTATGAAGTTGATAAATTTACATTTAATTAAGGGGCGATTCGTGTGTAAAATATGAAAGGGGGTGTGATAGCCAGGAATGTACTCTTTAACGGACGGCACCTGTAGCAATACCTGACGTGAGATAATTGCACGAAATTAAATAGACGAAGGGTGCCCGAGCTGGACCGTACGTGCCACGCGGTCGTTTCGCACGCCTTTTCCGCAGGACTTTAGAGAAAAATATTTTGGTTTGACAGGACTCGAAAATTGGGATCTATCAGAAGATGTGGCGATTCATGGAATCCAAGAGACCCACGGTCTTCGTTTCGACCTACGAGGAAGGCGTCAAGAGAGTCCTAGAGGGCGACTACGCCTTCCTGATGGAATCCACGATGCTGGACTACGCAGTACAGAGGGACTGTAATCTCACGCAAATCGGCGGACTTTTGGACAGCAAAGGATACGGGATCGCGACGCCGAAGGGTATGACGATTTCTATGAGGAAATATGAGAGAGCTTTATACCCTGTGGACAAGTTGTTTTCTTATAGAATTTATGTTCACGATTTTAGGCTCACCGTGGAGGGACAAGATATCCCTGGCAATTCTCGAGCTCCAGGAAAAGGGAGTGATACAGATACTCTATGACAAATGGTGGAAAAACACGGGTGACGTCTGCAATCGGGACGAGAAGAGCAAAGAGAGCAAGGCGAACGCGCTCGGCGTGGAAAATATCGGTAAGTACATAAACTTTTATCATTTTCTTCTTTTTTTTTTTTTTTCTTATTTTTTATTTTTCTTTCATTTTTCCTTTATTAAGACGTTCCACTCTCCATCGCGGTGAAGGAACTTGGGACGACCTAATACGATTTGTTGACCCACCCGGTAGACGATCCGGCATTCCTATATACGCCAAACGTTCTGGAGCTAACGATGCGTATAAATTGTGGAATATCCGAATCGCGAGTTTACCATCGGTAGCTCCATTAGTTTTCCACCACGTGATTCGCGGGGCTCTGGTATCGAAGTCATATGTACCGGAAGCGACCAAGCGGCCAGATACCTTACCAGAGATCTTGGCTGCAGAGCTTCGAAGAAAACAAAAACTAAGATCGCAAATAATCTGGGAAAGTTTGAACGCGGAAGCGAAGCAAAGAATTTCGGGCTCGAGCTTAGAGAAGCGCTTGAATCCCACGTCTTTGGAATTTATGGAAATCGCAACAAGTTCTTCAGGCGACTTCAGACACCGGAAACAAATAACTCCGTCAACATCCTCTATAACTATGATGACCGAAAGGCGAATGAAAAAAGTCATTCTAAAGAAATGAAACTGATAGAGCATACGTACAAAGTTAAAAAATTGATAAAACTGGAACCTGAGTCAAAATTCCAAATTTTTTGTCTGAATAAGATCATTAGCCTTTTAATATTTAAGAAAGCAAAACAAAAATCCATTCGAGCTGACCTACGAATTTTATGCTCTAATCTTGAGCTTTGTATCTGGTCCTCAAAGAAGCTAAATACGTAACTGAGTCTCCAGACGTTTCCTCCTGAACACGTGATTAAGGCTACGTCTCGAGCAAAGAAGAGTTAGCTGACATCGAGTATACCCGATATCTGAAATATTTCAAAACCGTTTAAGCATCCTTTATCTTAGTATCCGCCACGGACTTAGCACTTTGATACCATAGAAGTACTTGGATGTACTGTGCGACGTATAACGATGGGACAAAGTACTTAGCATAGGGAGACCTGTCACTGCAAACTCCCAGATAGGACTTGACAGAATTCTCGCAGTAGGTAACTGTGACTCCGCCATAATGCCGGACGCCACTGTGTTAAGAGATAGGCGCTCTCCTGTCTCTCTCTCACTCTCTCCCTCTTTCTCACACTCCTTGCAACTAACTAAGGGAGCGCTAGAGGATATAGCTAGAGTGAATGCTGCCTCAACCCCCTGGAAAGAGTAAGAGTGGCCAGAACCGGAAATGAAACTTTCACGTGTTCCGGTTTGGCCTCGTACATCTCTCTCGTAAATCATGCGTTTCCCGCATGCAAATCCGCGAGCGTTTTACGCGAGTCCTACCGCGATAACTGGAATTCTCCTAAAGCATATATATACATATATACGTGTGTATCTATGTCTTCCGAGTACTAAATTTCATTGTGACCTACAGTAGGAAGTAAGTAGGAAGTACCAGGACTGTTAACAAAAATAATTATGCCGCACGAGAGCAATGTTATACCGTTGAAGATGATTCTCAAAGAGATAATAAGTACAGGCAACTGTCTAAATATATATATCGACTACGGAATTACCACATTCTCAAAATTCTTACATACGTGGATCAAAATCATTATGCGAATTACCCTCAAGCACGTATGATAACAATAAATGAATTACATCCTAATGACGAAGATCAGGTCTTATACGGATTCGTATGAAGAGCGAGTAATTTAATGACGTCATTAAGTACGAGTCCGTTCGATTCATACGTAATTCAAGAGACCATGAGGAGGGCATCTCTCTAGGAGAGCATAATAAGGACACGCAGAGTCTTGGTGGAATAAAATGAAGTAAGAAAATGGAGGAGGAGCATGAAAGAAGAATGTCCAATTCCTGCGGCGAGGAAACGTCGCGCCTAGAATAGAGATGTGATCTCACCTTGAAGTAGAAAAGTAGGAAGCTCAGAAAAATGGGCAAGTTTTGATAAAGTCCCTCGGAGTTGAAGCCATGAATACATAGTAGCATAGTAGACAGTCTTACTATATACAGTAACTAGTAGATGGTACACATATATCAACCAATGTGGCGAGCTGCTACAGGCGAATGGTGTACCGTAGTGTAATAGCGGGAAAGGTGACGGCCGACCAGTCGTCGTTTCCACGTCGCGCCGCCGTCAAGTGGCGTCGCCACAAGCGCGGCAAAATCGTCGCTGAGCAACAAGGCGAGTTCACTCGAGCATGAGGCGACGCGACTAGAACTTCGGCACGCGCGGACGTCTGCGATCGCAAGAAGAAGATTCGATATCTGGTCGCTGTAGTCAGGCGAGTTTCACTGGTCCCAGCGTCGTAGAGCGTCGCGGCGCAACTGACGCTGCCACCTCCCCTCCCTCGCCCCTCTCTCTCTTCTTTCCACTAGACGAATTTATATTCCGGCTACATTCCGGCGAGCGTTAAACTCCGCTAAGGGAATTCAATGTAAAGGTGACCCACACGGAATAAATCGCCCGGAACTTCGCACCCTGTGAACTTTAACCTTCTTTGTGATATCCGTTGGTTAACAGTCACATCCGGTCCACCCTTAGGTACGTAGCTATACATAAAGTTAGTCTTCCCACCCGTAACGTACTTTGGTGATGACTTTCGTTTTTTCAACCCCCATAGAAAAATTTTGAAATTCCTTTGACAATAGGATCGTTACGCCAACCCAGTCTGCTGGGCAAAAGAGATTTGGGTTTGAGAGTAGAGAATAAAAAAAAGAGTAAGGAGCTTCAGTCTGGGGGTGTAATTGTTCGAATAAATAATAGGGGAAACTGCGACACGTGGGCTGGCTGAATAACCAATAAGAAAGCGACTAGGGGTGGCAAAAGTCAGAGGGATGAAAGTCGACTTATTATCCGGTCGGGACTTAATTGATCGTCAAGCCTTCCACCCCCCCGCCGCCCTTACCTCTTTTCCACCCCTGGAACCGTAAGGGGGGGTGGTTTTCACACGCTTCTCACACTGCTTCCGATACGTCCAGTGGTCTGCCAGTGACTCTCAGTCGGGGGGTTGAAAGAGATAAGAGCAGTCGACGGGCTGGGAAATGATTCACAAGGGGTTGCGCAATGCTTCACGGTGAATCTGCCACTCTTAAACTTCCCACGAAGTGGATGCTCACGCTCGGGTATTGCGCTCACGAGTTTCCATCCATTCGAAACGAATGGAACGAACTTTCTCTCCTTTTCCTCTTTTCCCCGTACAATTCACAAACTTCCCCGCCCGGTGTCTCGCTCGTTCCGCAACAATTTCATCAGACCCATCGGATGAACGACTTGAACGCGACCCTATACACATAGCAAAGTCAAACTATCTGTATGTAATTAAAAAAAAAATTTTTTGTCTCTCCCCCAGGTGGCGTCTTCGTCGTACTACTATGCGGTCTCGCCCTGGCAATCCTGGTGGCCATTCTCGAATTCTGTTGGAACTCCAAGAAAAATGCTCAGTCAGATCGGGTAAGGAATTACGTCATCAATGTCAAAAAGCTACGCTTCGGTATTGCACGCTCACACTTTAAATGCGTTTAAAATTTTTTTATCATTCACGTAAACCGAGTAACGGACTCATTAAGACGTTACCAGTGACGCAAGAGCAACACGTGGTCGTTGTTGCTGTTTTGTTGCTGTTCAGAAAATCTGTCAATGCCTTGCATGAATCTTTGGTACGTGTCTGTATTGTGTTTTGGTACTGTACTTGTCTTGCCGCCGTCAACCTGAATCGTCCGCATCAACGACGGCTGCCACGATCCGGAAACCCCGTCGAACCGTCACGTCTTCCTCCACGATCCCCGGTCGATTCGGCTCGTCCACGACCTTCGTTAATCCCCATACGGCCTCACCGCTCGCAACCTGCCGGGAAACTCTCTCGGGATAACCCAATAGTCCCTGTGTGCCGAGATGGCCTCGGAGTTGCGGTTCGCGGTTCGTTGCGGTTCACGACAGAGACCCGTGACGAAATCTCGTGCCTCGATGCCAGCGCCATGTTCACGGTGCAGTCCGCATGCGTCTCTGAGACGGAATCGCTTCTGCGGCCACGAGGAGACCACGTACATACCGAGCATCGAGATGATGCCTCAGCTAAATGGTGTAAGTCCTGTCCTGCCCGAAGGGGTCCATATTATTCTTACGAGCCTCGAGACAGCCTCCGAGTGAAATAACGATTTTTCATATTTAACGAAATTGACAAAAATTTGTTTTTTTTTCTTACACACTCCATCGGAAATTGTCCCGAGGATATTCTTGAGAGATTCACCCTCCCGAAAGCGTGCCGTAACCTTTTCTTGAGGATTCGAGACTTTTGTAAAAAAAAAGAAAAAAAATACAAATATCCGCTCTGTCTGCCGGAAATAATTTTACGGCTGGTGGCGACAGACGTATTTGTCATCCGTTCTTGTTTCTTGGATATTCGAGGAAAATGACGATCCTCGTATCGGTACAACTTTGTACGAACGATACACGGTTACCGTACGCAATCGGATGAATTTCTCCGTTTGATCGGTATAGTCTGTATTTTCTCACTGACGAAGGGAGTATCTTGCCTTATAATTGTCGTTGCATTGGTACAGTGGTTTTATATTCGGTCTGTAAATATATGGATGTATACGTAATCATATGTGCACATAACGTACTTTGGTATATCTATATCTATTGTACATTTCTTACTTGACTACCAAGCATTACGGTTATGATTTATCGTCGTTTATGATTTATCGTCGGCAAGATTGTGTATCAATGTCCTGTAATGTATTTTTGGCAAATATCTTTGCGTAACCGGATGTTCATGATATACGCGCGCATGCCTCAGATATATCGTGACTCTCTAGCGGGTTGATGGATGATTTTTTTAAAGAAATATGTATTATTCCCACCGATGTAAAATCTGCTTCTCTTTGAACTCCACGAAGGCTGCGATTGACTCGTTGGTCGGTGCATATCGCATTTCGTTTGGCAAGCCCTTACGATGGCGATTCTTTAATTAGAGCCTTAATTAGCTTCCCGGATGCCGCCAATGAACCGGTACTTTATAGAGTTGGAAGACGAATTTAAAAAGTTTCCCTCAAAGCCCAGGGTGCGCGTCATTTTTCTGCCAGGAAGAAGAAGAAAAAAGGAGAAAAAGACTTCTGGCCTCTCTAACGTCGCTAACGGGTGGCCAATTATTTTTCCATGACGAGCGGCTTACGAGTACCGAGTACAGGAGGGAGGAGAGAGAGAGAGAGAGAGAGAAAGAGAATAAAAGAGAGGAAAGAATTCAAAAAGAGAAAGTATAGGCCATAATAAGAAGAAGATTAACGAGATTTTAACGGGAGTCTGGAAAAGGAACTCGAGAAGATCTCGACGGATGCTCGAGAGTACGTAAAAGGAATTTTATACTTGAAACGTGCTGTAGGTAACGCCATTCAACTCACCGGCAGTAGGTACCTGCGGCAAGTACGAGCAAAAATATTTTTGAATGGCCTTGGCGTCTCAAACGAAAATGGTTTAGCAGGGGTTGGCTTTAAAAAAAAAATGAAAAAATAAAAAAATTCTTCAACAGGCAGAGCTGAGTCGTTGAAAGCGAAAAGAAAAAAGGAGAAAAGCAAAAAGGAAGACTAAGGTCAAAAAACGACGTCTTTTGAATGGATGTTAGATAAAGTTAGAGGAGGACGGGGTGGAAGCAGGGGAGATTCAAATGGTAAAAAGTGAGATTAAAAAGTATATTGATTTTTTTATTTTTTTTTTTTTT